TAAATGGTTTTAAATACATCCATCGTTTTAAATCTCTCGTTGTAAAATGGTTGAAATAAAAACATTTCCTTTAGGTTTTATTCTTTTACATTAAAGCGAGTTTTCATCACACTGCTTCTGTTGCAGACTCCTCTGATGTCCTTTTGCTTTGATGTTACGGAGATTTTTGATGCTTTCCCTACAGGTGGAGCAGCCTTGGCTCCTATTGGTGGACCCTCTCTATAAAACATGATGTATTTGTAAATCAGTCAGGCATCAGCCATGCCTGCTCTTTGATTTCTTATTTTTTGGGACTTTTCTGTCCCTCCTAAACTTGTCCTAGGAGAAGATCTTAACTGATAATAACATTTTACTTTCTTTGACATTGAATGTGCTACTACTAGTTTACCCGTTTAATTATAGATTCACTAGGATAAATACAATGAAGTTTATCTCTCACCAAATAGAATATTTACTAAGAAATCACAATGTGCCCATAGAAACATTACTTGGTATATATGTTGTGTGTGTGTGTGTGTGTGTGTGTGTGTGTGTGTGTGTGTGTGTGTGTGTGTGTGTGTGTGTGTGTGTGTGTGTGTGTGTGTGTGTGTGTGTCTGCTCTGTCTTCTCGATCCCCAGTGATTCGTGGAGGATGGCTGCTTATACTGAGCCAGGATTCTCTGGAGGTTTCTTCCTGTTAAAAGGGAGTTTTCCTCTCCACCGTCGCTAAATGCTTGCTTAGTATGAGGATTGCTGTAAAGACTCTGACACTAGTCAGTGACTTGATGCAATTTGCTGGGTTCCTTATATGGAAACTTTTTTCTGATTGGCTTAATGAACTGACCTGTATTGGAATGTTTATTATGTGAATCTCTGACACGAAAGACGATGAGAGAAATGCCTTCCATTAATAATTATATTGGGTTATTTATTTTCAGATCATTTGAAGGCTCTAATAGGTGCTTTATTCTCAACTCCAGCTTTACAAACTACTTGTCTAATCTAAATTAACCTAACCGAGACACATTTATGAATCTCAACACATTTCTTTGAAATCTCCGATTTGTGATTCCTATTCAGGTTTCAATTTCCTTTAATCTGTTTAATCCCCTTCTGTTTGATCATTTCATTTGAGGGAATGAGATTTTTATCCCATTTTCTGATTCATCCACAACAAAGAGAACGATTGTACGGAACATTAAAATGAATTTTAGAGGCGAGGAGCTGGAAGGAGCTGATTTTACCTTTGAAGTTACCTTTTAGCGCATCAGAGTGAATCTGTGCTGCTGGAGAATCTGCTCGTAAGCATACTGTAAGTGACAGAAAGTTTAGGCTGCCTGTACGTATGAGAGAGAGAGAGGGAGAGTGTGTGTGTGTGTGTGTGTGTGTGTGTGTGTGTGTGTGTGTGTGTGTGTGTGTGTGTGTGTGTGTGTGTGTGTGTGTGTGTGTGTGTGTGTTGCAGACAGTGCCAGTACAGACTCGTGTAGGAGGAAACAGTTCAGCCAACTCCTAAAGAGATGTCTCAAATTATCCGTCCGCCGACGCGTGTTCCTTATTCGTTCCTCGGCTGTATTTCTCAGCGCTTGGTGGGGATTCACGTTCTCGACTATTTCCGACGTGAAACGAGACTTGTTCTGGTGTCCTTCCAAATTTGAGGCAGAGACGACAGATCCTAATGCACAAGGTGAAAAGTGCTGCCGGCTCTCGTTTGCTGTTGTTTATGTTTGAAAGGCTGTTGAAGTCATTTATGTAATTTTTCACCCTTGAATGGCGACTCCGACGGTGCTACGGAGGGACTTGTTGAAATGGGAAAAGTTCTTTTTTTTTTTTTTGATAAATGTTGATTTTTAAGCATCGAAGCCTCTGAGTGGTCTAATTTAGTTCACAGCTCCGCCCAAAGTTTGCCTTCATCAGTCACCGTTTAAACAAACATCTCTGGGCTGTATTTATTTTATTAGTGTAATTAGTGAGTATAAATACAAACCCCTTGGCATTAAGCCACGTGGTAAATGAATCATGTTAATAAATGTTCTTATGTCCGCCATCTTTTCTTTGTAGGTGTTTGTTCTAAAGTTTATCAGTCTGGCTCATTAAAGCTGGGGTCAGAGGCGAATGCTGCTTAAGTAAAGTCAAGGTGGACTGGTCTCTGGGGAAGCTCTGGGCTCAAAGTACAAAGTTTTAATGCTGAAAATTTCTCCAGAGTTGGTTTGAAGGCTGGATTATTGCTTTTGTTATGACAATAATAATGTTTATGTATTTGACAGATGGTTGTATCCAAACCGAGAACAAACATGAAGGGAAGTGCGTGCGGTAGCATACGAGGAAGGAAGTAAAGGGTAGGTGCTAGGTAAGGAGATGACCTCTGAAGAGTTGGGACTTTAAAGACTGTGTTTGAAGAGAGACAGGGTGGCCCCAGTTCTGGTAGCTCAGTCGCTAATTCCACCATCACGGAACAACACAGGAAAAGAGTCATTAGCATGGTGTCGGCGCTGCTAGCCAGCAATCATTAGATGACTGGAGACGTAAACCTCTGCGAGAAGATTCAAATAGATGGGAGTCGTTTCCTTCAGGGTTTTGTGAACTAGCATCAGTGACTTGATTCTGAAGCAGGCAGATGAGGTAGCCGATGAACTGAGAGGGGTGGCACAGGCTGTTTTGGGCTGACCAGACGCTTCGCCACATTCTGGACTATACAGGGGTATCACAGCTCAGACTGTGAGACAGGTTAGGAGAGTGTTACACTATGGAGATAACCATAGACTGAAGCTGGGGGCGTGTTGGGTTAGGTACCACCTGGTCTTTCTTACATGCCATATTCACCACCTGCTGTCCAAAGTCTGCCTAACATGGCCACTACAGTTAATCAACATTACCAAAAGAAAAATGTCTGAAACTCGGCGTCGTGAGTCATCACCAACTTTAACCACCGACAGATACAAAAATCACTGATAGGTTTGACAAAAAAACTCATTTTCTAAATTTAAGGGAACACGGGAGAACTTTGTTGCGAGGGCTAAAGAAAAGGTTCGTATGAACTAAAACATAAAGAAACCCAAACCAAAGAAATGTGAGTGTCCTCTGATTGTTCACTGAATTGATTTTGCATTTTAGACAGTAACATTGATTTAGCCTGAAATAAAATCGGTATCTTTGTTGACTTTGATTTGTAACATTTTTGAGAACAGAGATGTGGAAACAAGTCTTTGGTAAAGTTAAAATAAAAAAACATGAAATCATAATAAATATTTTGAAAGAATCTAAAAGTGGAAGGGGACCTAAAATCTAAACCTAAAACCATAATCAACTTCCTCTTTCCTAAGAGTAGCTTATGGGTCAGCATTGTAACCAATAAGGATTCAGCATCTTGTTTAAATCTGCAAAGTCTTTGATTTCATCTTAGGAAGGTCTGAAGTTGGGCTGCGCTCTCATCAAAAGACTTGAGGCTTCTCTAGACGGGAACATTTCCAACATTTGACTCTCTCCCAAAAACAACATGGATCCTGCCAAGTCTGAGAGCTACGAGCTACACCCCGTCATCACCCAACACAAACTCACACAACAAATAATGAAACCAATCGAGCAGAGCCCCCCCCCTCAAATGACTTCTTGAGGTGGCTGCAGGCTGGTCACAGCTTTGACTCCTGCAGCAGCTTCCACCTGTCTGTCCTTCCACCAGGTGAGATGCTCACCTCCTCAGATGATGCTGGAATATCAGATCTGTCTAAAGCACCAGATGAACCTCTGGAGAAGCCCTTCCAGCATCAGAGTCCAGGATTTATGACACTTCATTAAACATGTAGCCAGCGATGTGACACAACAGTATAAATCTGCTCCAGAAGCAGCTCTTGAGGAAGCTCACTGCCTGTTTTTTTCCCCTGAATAATCCACTAAAAGACACATGATATCCACTATCTGTCCTGAGCACTAATGGTTTATTAGTCCCTTGGTGGTGAAACATGATCCAATAGTATTGGATGCCCCCTCCTCCCATCTGTGAGGCTGAGAGGTGATTTACACATGAGCAGTTTATGGAGCTTTTAAAAGGACAACGGAGCAGCCATAAAAAACACATGTTGTGAGGATTTGCACAATCCAGAGTGTGTTCCTGAGACAGTGGGATGTGTGTGTGCATGCATGCAGAAGAATCTGAAACATGCAGAGATGGTTTCAGCTACAGGATGTAACAAATATCCTGTTTAGATTAAAAAATTTCACCCAGAATGACCCGAAACAAACCACAAGAGAGTCCAGTTCATTAAAAAAAAACACTTTGGGTTCATTACTTTAGTGCTCCAGATATACTCAGCGGTTGCAGGGGGACGCAAAAGTTCTGGTTCAGGCACAGGAGGCCCGACCCACCTCAGCTGACTCCTTTAAATGAGGAGGAGCAGCAGCGATGGAGCTCTGGAGCTCCTCGCCTCATATCCGAGTCTGAGCCCTACGGAGGAAGCTCAGACCATCATGACTCTATTTCTTTTCAGATTTGAGTTGCGTCATATTTTATTTATGTTCATCTTTTAGCTCTTTACAGCACGACGAGATTCAGGAAAAATGGAAACCAAAGTCAGTATTTGTTTATAAACTCTTTGAATTGTGTCATGGCTTTTGTTTCAGGTGGGATTATCAGAGATTCCCACCCCCTAAAATATGAACCTAACAATATTTTATTAATGGAAAATATGACAATCAAGCAGCAAAAACCACATCATCAATATCTGCTCAAACCAGAACAGCTCTTCCAAAGCAATTCAATCCAGTTCTCAGTTTAACAGATTTAAACGGAATAAAAACAGAAAAATAAAGATCAAAATCTCCATCAATCAAGCTGCTAAAGAGGCAGGTTTTAGTCCTAAAACTCATCAACCATGCAGAGACAAAAGCCACCAAAGCCTCTGATCCATAAACAGACATTAAACTCATTCACCAATAGGTGGCAGAGTTGGCCGCTGTTTCCAGGCAGGATTCACGGAGGAGAGAGATGAGAAAGTCAGCAGAGGAGGAGAGAGGGAGTGGACACTTACTTGCAGTCTCTGTCCTCCAGATCAAAATGCGGGTTGAAGTTGATGAGGATTTTCTGCCCGGGTTCCGGGGCGGTTATCACCCACATGCAGAGCTGGGAAGGCGGGTAGGCACCCGGGTAACCCGGGGAGGTCAGGTAATCCGCGGTGTGGATCACTATGCTCCCCCCGCATTTATCTGGCCCGCAAGACACAAAAACAAACAGTTAGTGACAGAGTTGGAGCTGCACTGACTGATGCAAAACACATCGACTTAATTTTGCGCCAGAAATCTAAAAGCGCAGTGGAAGTGCACATTTTACGCAGGAAAAAACGGTGCTTAACTTCAAACTGGAGGTATTTTAGAAAAGGTGCGACGTGAAGTCAGGCTGATCACGTGCTGACCCCAGAGAACAGGCTGGAGGATTAAATTTAATTTTCTCTGTGAATGATTTATGAAATTGCATGTTGCCTGGAGATCATGCTTCAGCTGCAACATGTGCGAAAAAACACCAAACGCCGTTTCTGGATGGATGGAAACGGGTAAAAACCACGAAAACGTTCAAGTCTACGGGAGAAAAATCACGTTTCCTTTGTCATTTGGTGATTTTGCGGATATTTTAGGGACGTTTCCTGTTGTTTTAAAGTGAAAACTGAATTTCTGACGCGAAACCATTTGATCCCGCACACGCGTTCCTGAACAGGTGAGAGACAACATAACGCAACAGAGATGAATGTTCACACACACACACACACACACACACACACACACACACACACACACACACACACACACACACACACACACACACACACACACACACACACACACACACACACACACACGTACCGGTCTGAGTCAACGAAGACACCAAGATGACTTGGGTGTAAAGGAACAATAGAAATCCACTTCGCATCCTGACAAAACGGAACAAATCTGTTAAAATAAAAAAGGAAACAGAAAAAAGCCCAAAGGAGGGAGTGGAGTTTAGGTCCGGAGAGGAGAAATAGCCCGAGATGATCTCAAAGTGAGAGTCGTGGTGGTTGCAGAGTCCCCAGCATCCTGCGAGCCGCGGCACCAGAACCCAGCTGCGCCTCCAGGAGGAACGGAAATAATCCAGATTCCAACAAGAATCTACCAGAGAAAACCCATAAGTGTCAGCAGCTCTGGGTTCTTCCTCACACCTTCTACTTCTGACCAGCAGCAGCCGCTGACATACTTCCAAGTGAGGAATTAAGACCGAAGATAGAACGGATGTGTGGTGAGTGAAGCGCCGAGTCCGGAGCTCTCCTGATCTTTGCTCCGCAGCTCTTCTGTCTCCAGACGAGCCGCGAGAGTAAATAGCGGAATTTCCACTCCCCAAATTCCTGCTCCGAGTCACTGCTGCTGCGAAGGAGGGCTGGCGCAAACTGACACCGGTGCGCCCTCTGTGCGCTCCCGACGCGTGCGTGCGCGCCCGGAGGAGGAGGAACAAGCGCGCAGCCTCGCGCAGGCATGTGGCTCTGACACAAAGATGTGGACAGAAAACCCACATCTGGTCATCTAAGCATCACGCTGATAGAAGCAGAGGAAACCTAAATTTATCAGATATTCTTGGTTCTAAAAATGATAAATCTGCTGATTATGTATGCAAAATATTTACAGAAAACTGATTAAACACACATTTTAGAATAAGAAACGTTTAAAATACCTTCTAGAACCGTTTCAGGTCGTTTGACAGATCATTTTAATATGAGCTGACTTAAGTGCAGCTCTTGCCAACATTTCCCATAATTCCAGCTTCTGCCATCAACTTGTTGCAAACCCAAAACTAACAGCTCTTGCATCCTCCTGGAGTTAAAGGATGTCCATCAATGATAGAATGGAGCTCCATCCAGAGACGTGGGCCAGAAGACCAGGTTGTCATGTCTCCAACCCTCACAGGTGTTCTTTAGAACTGGATTATGACCAAAAGAACAAGATCCTAGACAGGTGTGGAGACGAGGTGGTAGAGCCGCTGCTCCCTCAGAGGGACGTGAGTAAGATACTGATTACCTGGAGGTGTTTTGGACGCTTTAGGGAGAAGACCCTGGACCAGACCTAAAACTTTCTGGAGGGTTTCTCCTCCCTGGTTTGGAATCCCCCTCCCAACAGAACTCTCACCTCTCCCATTGGCCATCGTCCTTAAGCCACACCCTCTGATATGGGAGTGCATTGCTGGAGGAAACGAGATAGCGCTAAACACCAGTAGCATATCCAAACATTTTTTTTTTCCTGTGACTTCAAATGGTGTTCTGTTTTTCTAGACTCTGGACAGCAGTAGCTCAGGAGGTAGAGCGGGTTGTCCAGTAATCGGAAGGTTGCAGGTACGATCCTGGCTCCCATCAGAGAATGCTGCTGTTGTGTCCTTGGGCAAGACACTTATCCTGCCTTACCTGCTGGTGGTGGTCAGAGGAACCGGTGGCGCCTGTGTACGGCAGGCCTCACCTATGTCAGTGTGCCCCAGAGCAGCTGTGGCTACATCGTAGCTCATTCCCACCAGAGTGTGAGTGAATGTGTGTGTGAATGTGGGAATGAATGATTGTTTTGTGTTGTAGAAGCCTAAGAAGGCGCTATCCAAATACAGGTCATTTACCATAGATTGTCCGAAAGATGAAGTGGTAGCAGCCGGCTATTTCTCCTTCTCTGATATTATTGAGCGAAGAACCTCTCACACCAGTGGAGTTCTGCTGCTAAATACATGAGTGTGTGAAGAGTGGAGGACCCAGGGAAGTACGGCGGTTCAGTGAGACAGACAAATGGATGGTCCAATCGCTGGTTTGGGACCAAGCCATGTTGTTGGCAAAGGGTTTTAGACAAATGTGAGAAAGCAACTTCAGTTTTTTAAAATATGCATTGCATAAATATTTATACCTATGTTAGAACGTTAAACTAGCTTTAACTGTTGAACCGAGGTCCTTTTGACCAGTTATATTCTTGCTGAGTGTTTCTAAAAAACGACTTGGTCGGGTTAGGGTTACTATCCAGTTTAAAATGACTAAACCTTTCTCATGTCTATTTTGTTTCACAAACCTTGTGAAAAAGTCACTTCCAAAAAGACAAAGCCATGGTTCTGATAAAATCTTAATATCCTATTTGTGTGAGGAGACGCTTGAATTATAAGTTCAGTTTCTCCAAGTTTAAAATAAAAAACCTACAAGGTTGAGCAGCTACTGGTGTTACGTATGAGGATCTCCATGCAAATGGTCAGATTTCTAAAAATGCACCGTAAGAGGTCCAGTGTGGTCTGCAGCAGCTGTGATCTGAGTCCCGCTGAAACCAAAGTGAAAATGTTGGAAACAATGACCCAAAAAGAAGGATTTGTTTGTTGGAGTTTATTAAACGCGCACGGCGCTGCTGGTTCACGCGTGATCGGTTGTCATGAGATTACTGAAAAGCACAACAAGACAGCAAGAGGCTTAAAGGCTGTCCCAAAACAGCGTCAATGTTTTAGCTGGAAAACTTCTCCCATCTGGACCGAGCCTCGTCTTCGCGAGGACGCCGCAGACGCACCTGTTGTTGTTTCTTCCTCTTGAGGGTTGAAAGTGGAGTTTAGCTGAAGGATGTGACACTCATGCCTCTGAGAGTTTATTTTTTTTAATTACAACAAATACAGGATAAATATGGAATGGAAGTCAACATTAAAGATGAGGCAATGGCTGGATTTGGAATTGGTGACCTTGGTGTGTTTCTGTGCTCCTCTGGGTGATAAACATGCAGCCGTCTAATTAAAGAACCTCCTGGTTCAGCACTTTTCTTCTCTGCTAAATAAAGATGAAAATGTGATTATCAAACACTTATAGGAGCTGCTAATTGTTCAGCACTCAGAACTAATCCAACTAGATTCATTAAGGCTGGACCCCTCAACCAAACTCTGTTTTTATAAATAAAAATATGTTCCTCCCAACGAGCTGCAGCCATATCTCTCCAAACAGTGCCTCAGATTAAGGGCAGCTTCTCAGGAGAGGATTTAAAATTAAATCTGTATTTTTAAATTAGATCGTTTCATAAACAGGAGGTCCGACAGGACCGGGTACTCACTTATTAGGTTGACAGAAAAAATATGTCAACAGTAGCAGAAACCTGATGTTTATGCAAAAACAACAAGAGTTTAATTAGAAGCCAGAAGGTTGTTCACTTAGTTAATCTCATAAATAATAACAGATTAATTAACTATGAGACTAAAGACAAAAGGATGCTGAAGTCTATTTTTTTTAATGTTTTACACAAATACATCAGTTTTCAATGAGTACGCCCCATAAAAATAAAATATACATCTGTCCATTTTCATCCGCTTATCTGGAGTCAGGTCACGGGGGCAGTAGCCTAAAGCTTGGTTTATGCTTGACGCATTCACTTTCCACTTGGTGATGCGGCTCGCGGATGGAACGCGCTTCACAACTCGCAGCGTTTATGGTTCATGCGGCTTGTCTCTGCGGTGAGCCAATATTCTCCCAAACTGAATGGGGCAGAGAGAGGTGAGAGGCCCAGACTTCCCTCTCCCCAGCTACTTGGGCCAGCTCCTCCAGGGGAATCCCAAGGCGTTCCCTGGCCAGGTGAGAGTCCCTCCACCGTGTCCTGGGTCTACCTTTAGGTCTCCTCCTGGTTGAACGGGCCTGGAAAACCTCACCAGGGAGGCGTTCAGGAGGCATCCTGACCAGATGCCCGAGCCACCTCAACTGGCTCCTCTCGATGTGGAGGAGCAGCGGGTCTACTCCGAACCCCTCCCGAATGACCGAGCTTCTCACCCTATCTCTAAGGGAGAGCCCAGCCACTATTCGGAGAAAACTCATTTCGGCCGCTTGTATCCACGATCTCGTTCTTACGGTCACTACCCAAAGCTCATGACCATAGGTGAGGGTAGGAACGTAGATCGACCGGTAAATGGAGAACTTCACCTCCTGACTCAGCTCTCTCTTCATCACGACAGACCGGTACAACGCCCGCATCACTGCAGAAGCAGCACCAATCCGCCTATCAATCTCATGCACCAGTTTTCCCTCACTCGTGAACAAGACCCCGAGATACTTAAACTCCTCCACTTGGGGCAGGACCTCATCCCTGACCCGGAGAAGGCATTCTACCCTTTTCTGAATCAAGACCGTGGTCTCAGATTTAGAGGAGCTGATTCTCATCCCAGCTGCTTCACACTCGGCTGCGAACCGCTCCAGCGAAAGCTGAAGATCACGTTCTGATGAAGCCAACAGGACCACATCATCTGCAAAAAGTAGAGACCTGATCCTCAGTCCACCAAAACAGATGTCCTCCACACCTTGGCTGCGCCTAGAAGTCCTGTCCATAAAGGTTATGAACAGAATCGGTGATAAAGGGCAGCCTTGGCGGAGTCCAACTCTCACTGGGAACGAGCCCGACTTACTGCTGGCAATGCGGACCAAGCTCTGACACCGGTCATACAGGGACCTAACAGCCCGTATCAGAGGGCCTGGTACCCCATACTCCCGGAGTACCCCCCACAGGGCCCCCAGAGGGACACCGCCAAACGTCTTCTCCAAATCCACAAAACACATGTAGACTGGTTGGGCAAATTCCCACGCACCCTCCAGGATCCCCCTATGGGTATAGAGCTGGTCCAGTGTTCCACGGCCAGGACGAAAACCACATTGCTCCTCCTGAATCTGAGGTTCAACAATCTGATGAACCCTCCTTTCCAGAACCCCTGAATTGACCTTACTAGGAAGGCTCAGGAGTGTGATCGGGGGATAAAGGGACCACCACCCCGGTCTGCAAGTCCAGTGGGACTGCCCCCGATTTCCACACGATATTGCAGAGCCGCGTCGGCCAACACAGCCCCACAACATCCAGAGCCTTAAGAAAATAAAATATTTTAAATAAATTAAAAAAAAGACATCCGTTAAAGCTGAAAGGATCATTTTTTATTTTATGCTTTACACAGTAATGCATGAGCTTTACATAGTACTACAAATACACAAGTAGCTTACAGAAAGCAAGTGTATGGCAGAAGCTGAAATGCCTGTGTTAAAGTATTATCAACAAATGTTCTTTTTCAGGGTGCATTCAGTAGGGTTGGGTAAATGGGATGAATTATTCCAACATCGGCAATGGGCGGAGCCACTACGGTTGTTTTTTACAGGTGCCGATTTGTTTATTTATTTATTTGTCTGCCCATGAGTTTGTTTGTTAATGACAAATATTTTACACGTTACACACAGAGAACATCTTAACAATAAAGAAAGATCTCCATCAGCGCATGACAGCGTGTGCGCAAGCTTGGAGATGACATTGTTCACGACAGCGTGGTGTTGAGTGGAAAGTGGATCTTTCAGAGGGTCTGGAAGACTTCTGGTTATTTCATTTGGAGAAATATTTCCTGATTTAAAACGGTGGCTTAAGTAGCGCTCGTTATTCAGCACCTGCTTCGAGTGTGTCAGCAGAGCGTGGATTCATCCAGATCAACATGTAAACATGAAGGAGGCTGAGGGAAAGTCCAGAACCTCTTAATCTCTTCAGCAAGCACTCTAGAGACATTTGATTATGCACAAGCTGTGGGTG